TGGCAGGCTTTTGAGAATGCCCAGCTCTGAGGGGAAACACCCAAGTTTATTCTAAAAGTGTTGGTGGAAGTTGCTGAAGTCAGCTTTCAGGTTTGGATGACTTTCTTTTTCCCCCAGTAGCAGAAAGTGTGTCGGTGGGGGTGGGCCTGGCTCTAGTCTCCAGGGCAGGCTGTGTCAAGCCTTCTGTAACAGCTGTATCAGGGCTGGTGTGGAATCACCAAGGATGGTTGGAGCCAATGGTTGTGTGTTAAAAAAATTAAATAATTGGTTTCCCTTTTTCAAATAAAAAACATAAATAGTACCTATTATTTATCTATTTTCTTATGTCAAATGCTCTTCTCTCCCCTTCAATAAACATATGGTATGAAGATTTTGTATCCAGAACTAGCCTAGTGACTCCTCCAGAAAAACGTAAATTTCTTTGTTCCAAACTCTTGAAAACCCAAGGGAAAGCTTGAAGACTGAAGCTGGTATCAATATAACCCACACGAGTGCACCTCCTCGAAGTGCTTTGCATGGGTTGGCTTATTTAGCCATCACCACAACCCTATGAGGCAGATGCTTATTATGATCTCTGTTTGATTGATGAAGAAAACGCAAGCAGAGATGTGAAGTAATTTTCCCAAGGTTGCACAGCTCGCATGTAGCAAAGCTAGGCTTTGCACACTGACTCTAGGCTCTACCTCTTCCCCTTGCTCCATCCCCTTGCTCTTTTTTGAGTTAATTAAGCTTATAGTCTCTAAATTATATTATGAACAATAAACTATGTTAGAGGGGCGCCCAAGTGGCTTAGTCGGTTAAGCGTCCAACTTTCGCTCAGGTCATGATCTCACGGTTCATGGGTTCGAGCCCCGCGTCAGGCTCTGTGCTGACTGCCAGCTCAAAGCCTAGAGCCTGTTTCAGTCTGTGACTCCCTCTCTCTCTGACCCTCCCCTGCTTGCGCTGTCTCTCTCTCTCTCCTAGAAATAAATAAAACATTAAAAAAAAAAATAAAAATAAACTATGTTAGAAATCATGTTAAGATTTGTTAAAAAGAAAGAATAGCCCTGTGGCTCAGTGGCTGAAGCGTCTGGCTTCAGCTCAGGTCATGATCTTGCAATTCACGAGTTCGAGCCCCACATCAGGCTCTGTGCTGACAGCTCAGAGCCTGGAGCCTGCTTGGGATTCTGTGTCTCCCTCTCTCTGCCTCTCCCCTGCTCATGCTCATGCTCTGTCTCTCTCAAAAATAAAAAAAAAAAAAGTTAAAAAAATTTTTTTTAATTAAAAAAAAAATCAAGTTGTCTACTTCATACCAGGTCCTATCTCCTGGCTCCCTTCTGGATTCTTTGGAAAATCGGGGATTTGGTCAGATTATTGCTTTTGACCTCTAAGCTCTATATGCTCATGACTTGAAAACAATAATGTCTAGACAAGATGAATGATGTTTAGAGCCAGTAAATAATGTGAAGTGAAACAACACCGTGGTCAGTACTTTAAAGAAAAGGAGAAATGGAGCAGGGTCATTTCTTTTTTTTCGGTTTCTGGTCATCTCAGACTTTCCTGACTTCAGAAAGCTGCACTGCCTGGGTGTGCCCAGTGCTTTCACACTCTAACTTATTTTGGCAGTTCTGAAAAACACCTTCTGGCAACCAGTAAAGACCCAGGTTTTGTGAGTTCTAACACTTTAAATTGTGTGTGTGTGTGTGGGGGGGGCTGTTTTTAAGAAAAGGAATACGAATTTACATATGCAAACTTTGTATATGCTACAATTACAGTCACAGCCTCCTTCCTGGTCTCCTTGCTTCCATTCTCTTTCTAGTCGAAGCTCTTACTTACTTCTCTCTTTCTAGTATAAGTTTCTCATATGTAAAAACTTAGGTCCTAAAGTATGTTTGTTCAGAGAGATGGAAATAGACGTGTGTTAAAATGAGAGACCCTCTGTCAATTCAGCTTGGGAAATTTCTCATAGCACGTTCATTCGTGGTGATTCCATGCTACACATCAGCATAACAAAGGCACTAAGCAATCCTGGGCTTGAAAAATCTACAAAAATGTATCTGTCCATGAAATGTTTTTTTGTGGATAGCTATTAGCATTTCCAAGGTAAAACTGGGTCAGCAAAATTCTGATCGAAGTTAATTTTCAATAAAGCATTCCTGTATCATGCTTCTTCCTGGATGAAAAAAAAAAGTTCCAAAGTTCATTAACGCCTCCAGGATCAGGTCCAAATGAACCAGACCAATAGTCCATGGCATCCCTAATCTGGCCTTATGCTGTCTCAACTTCATCTAACTGCCTCTTCAAGAGCAAATGGCCTGCAGCAGTTGGTTTCCCCCATAGACGAGCAGGCAGTCGTATTCCTTACAGGAGACATCCCACCAGGTTCTCTCGCTCTTACTCACAAACTCTCAAGCTGGCATTTAGCCCTAGGCCACACGTAGCATTGTTAACTGAGTATTTCAATGTGACAGCTTTCTTTCTCCCAGCAAACTATGTTTCCAGAGGCAGAGAACTTTTGTCTTCTTCCTCAGCACTCAAGTATGCATTGATGACTTCACTGGGCAAACAGATGGCACTTAGTAAACATGTGTTGACTGAATCAATGAATTCATGAGTAAGTCTTGGTAGACTTCCTTTCAAATCAGTTGGCTTTACAGGTTTCTGAGTCCAGGCCAACCAGAGCAGATTGAGGATGAACATATAAGCATATCAGGAGATATCAGGGATCCAGCCCCCTCTCTAACACCACATCCAGTAATCAGAGATGGTGACTTAAGAGAGGCCTTTTATAGAGTGGACATGCAGGGTATTTATTTACCTTGCCGGGGACTGGATGAGAATATATAAAGCAGGGCTTTAACAAGAGATAGTAGAAGATATATGTGTACACAACATCGGAAAAACTTCCTTTGCTGATCACAAAAATGTACCATTCCCAGAAATTCCTTTTTAACAGATGCGTAATTAGCATCTGCTGACTTTGATAAGTTGATCACTGAGTCAATTTTAATGCCGTCTCAAATCTTAAATTAAATTCTCTTATTTTCTTAACATGGAGGCTCCTATTCTATCTTATGGCATGGGTAATTTTTCCCTCCCAGTAGAATAAAATTAAACAGGCTCATAAAATATTCATTGACTTACATATCAACACATATATATATGTGCCTCTAAGTTTAAATTAGTTGCCTCCTGTAGCCTGGGGTAACTAAATATTTGCTATAGGTATTTCTCCTGAGTGGCTTACGTTTTTGATTGTTCTATTATTTGATCTATGGCCTGAAATGTCTTCTTATTCCTTAGATACAAATACCTCTACTTGTATAGTAGAGTAACTGATTTAGGCATTTCATTTATATAATCATACTCACTAGAATCCATGTCCAGATTCTAAAAATCCACATTAGTGATGTCAGTGGCAGATTGCTGGATCTTTACTTAAACAATACTTTTGATGCTGATAGTGATGACCTTGAACAAAAGGCAATGGCAAAGGTGGCCCATCCAGGCTCTGCCCCTGATGTTCTCAAGATACTTGAGCCGAGGTAACAATGGACCAGAGCAGGGTTTCAAGGTCCACCTTGACTGATGACCAGGAGCAGGTGACGTTAGATAAGTCTCATAGCCCCACTGAGCCTTAATTTTCCTATTTGTAACTTGAGATGGCTAGACTGTATGTGGTAAAATTATGTGCCTCCATTAAGCAAATCCCATGTCCTTTTAAAAGAGCCTCTAAAATGCATTTGGTTAATTAGGAACTAAAATTAGATTGAACTATAACTAGCTTTTTAGATACGAAGTATCAGCCACATTGCTGGTGCTTAACTGGTATCAGTCCCAGGTTTACTGCATGTCAGGTTGCTAGAGTCACTTCAGGAGGAATTAGAGGACAAGCCTTTCTTCCTTGACTAGCCTTTTCTATGGCTCTTTATTAATTTATTTCCTCATTTTCCAATTATGAACACATTTATTGGAATCCCTGTGACATAAAGATTTCTTAATTTACATGTAAACTTAATACATTTTTGAGGAAACCAAAGCCAGACCCTTGATAGCAAATGTTATGAATGAAGGACAAAGAAACTTTTAAACATGTTTTGTAAGTGTAGGTGAGTTATTCCAGATTGATGAAGCCTTTTTAGTCATTCTGCAACCCACCAGTGATAATATCCAACATTAAAAAAAGAAAAGAAACAAAAAGATAAAAATATAAGTTTCTTGAGCACTTGATGTTTTTACAATTTATGTATGAAACATTATACAGATTAAGAAAGCACATGCTTTTGGAGCACCTGGGTGGCTCGGTCAGTTAAGTGTCTGACTTCAGCTCAGATCATCATTTCACGGTTCGTGGGTTCAAGCCCCGCATCGAGCCCTGTGCTGACAGCTCAGAGCCTGAAGCCTGAAGACACAGATTCTGTGTCTCCTCTCTCTCTCTCTGCCCCTTCCCTACTCGTGCTCTGTCTCTCTTCCTCTCAAAAATAAATAAGTATTTTTTAAAAATTTAAAAAAAGAATGCACATGCTTTCTGTGAGACCCTCTCATAAGGGACATGCTTCCTAATGATTGTTTTACATTTCAGTTATAAAAGTGAATCAGCTAAGAAAATTATCAATCACCTGCCATGTGTTAAGACTCTAGGACAGCTGACGTGGGAGGAAGAGAGGCAGAAAAGAGATGAGTGTATCACTAACAAAACTGATAATACAGGTGAAATAAGAGATGGACATGTAAAGATAATGATGAATACTCTACAGTGTAGGATAAAAGATGAGTGACAGATATAACAAGTGCTGAGGAAGGAAAAATGTGTACTTATTATATTTATAAAAGAGTTCTCAAAAGAGAATAAATGGAATAGATTTTAAATAGGAAATATAATACTAAATTTTCAAAGGCCTATTCAGATTTGCTTTGGAGTGGCACTCTCTGAAAAATATGAAGCCAACCTAATAGACACTTGATCTAATAACAGTAAGTTTACCCACAAGCATTTGGTGAAAAAGAAAGGCCAGACTTACCTGCACATTGGCATGGACAGACTCAGGCACTTGATATTTCAACTCATGGGCTGTTGCTTGAGATTTTGGAAGCAGAAAAGGATAAGAAAGGGACCGATATTTTGACTTCATTATCTAAAATGAAGAAAAACAGGAGAAGAAAAACAGATACAGATGAGAAAACAGCACCATTCTTCCCTACTTTGTAATTATAAAAGAAATTAAGATTCATTTGAAAAAGAAAAATGTTAACAGTGGATGTTTCTAGTTGAAGAGGCAATAGATTACTTCTTTTTGTGTTCTTTCCATTTTCCAGTAGCAGAGAACTCCTTTTTCCCTTCTTTTTTTTACCTTTTGTAGCGGGCATGTATTGGTTTATATTTTTAAGGGAAGCCTAAGTATCATCTAGAGTTATAAAGGTATATAATTCCAAAAATTGTATTTTTTTTGTAAACTGATTTCTTACTATGTGGTAGATATCTTGTCACAGCAGTGTATAACTATATATATATTTTAATAACTTCATAAGAAAATGATATAGAACTATATGTAATAAATTCCTATTCATTTGCATTTCAATTATTTCCCATTTTATTAGAATTATTAGAAGCAATGTCCAAATAAGTTACCTTGTTGAATTACCTTTTTAACTTAAGTATCCAAAAAAGGTTGTGATAAAGGTTGTATACTTTTTAAAAAGTGTTTTGAGGTTTACGAATTTATCCTGCCAGGAACAGAGTACACAAGTAACAGAAATCCACAAACCAATCACAGATACTAGCAGGTTAAAAGTAATATCCCTTCCCAGTCAGTTAAGCATCCGACTTCGGCTCAGGTCATGATCTCACGGTTCGTGGGTTCAAGCCCCACGTTGGGCTCTGTGCTGACAGCTAGCTCAGAGCCTGGAGCCTGCTTCGGATTCTGTATCGCCCCCTCTCTCTCTGACCCTCCCCTGCTCACGCTGTCTCTCTCTCTCTCTCAGAAATAAATAAAACATTTAAAAAAAAAAAGTAATATCCCTTCATTTATTTATTCATGCCCCCTTAATTTTGGTTAAAAATATTTCCATTATTTCTAAGAGATTATAAAGTTTATATAAATGAAAGCTCATGTAAATGAAAAATAAGGGGAGACTCTAAGCAGTTGATAAAATAATTTTGTCCCAAATTATCAAGGAGACTAAGGCCTTGTCATAATTTATAGCAAATAAAATGGAAGCTTAATGATTCCTGGATATAGGTACTTAAGTTATTCCTCAGTGTAATGAAGGCACACTAAAGATGACAGTCTGGACAAAAGGACAATGACTTCCACTTCTCATTCTATTGCTCCCTTTGCTCAGAACCACCTTCCAGAAGTCTGGGCCAGTATGAACCCAGTGCAACACCAAGACCCGAAGGACTTGAAAGCTCGAGCTCTCTCATCCAAACAAGGCCCTTGTCCCCCTACAACGGCCTTCTAGGTGACCATCCATCCAGACTGGATGCTTAATCAACACTGAGTATCCAAAAATGTTAAAAGGATCACAATAGGCCCTGAAAGTACTATCTATCTCTCTGCGCTTTGAATTGCCTGTGGTGTGAATGCTCAGGGACATTTTCTTTTTCTTTTGCCCACAGACCCTGGCCCTCTGGCAACCAGGCACTCCAGAGCAGATGGGCCACTGCAACCCCTTTTTGTCAACCCGCTAGATTTCTCCTCTTCCAGGCTCTCTTTAGGTGGACTGAATCATGATAAAACCATCCGTGTACCTTCGTGAAGTTCCAGCGCTGGATGAAGTGACGTGCCACGTCACGAGCTGCCTTCCCGTGGACTGCAGAGGCAATGTCGTGCCATGGCATCCGGGGAGTGGAGTACCTGTCAATGAAATCTGCCCAGGTGACCCAGGCAAGGTCATCACTAACTTCAGTGTCACTGACACACTGACACCAGCACTGACCCCACCCACAATATGTAAAGGAAACATGGTAATGTTCACTGTGCATATAGTACTTGGTTGGGGTGGAACAATACCTTTATAGCCAAGGAAAACATAATATCTATTACATTGAGGAGCACAGTCTCCCAAGTTCCTCCCCCAATATGTTTCAATTTCACTTAGTACAAGATAATCACTAGTCAAGGCAAGATGTGAATTGGTGTAAATTATCTAAGGCTGTGTGCTTAATATTACATTTTTTTTTTAGATCCTGTTGAAATAACCTCAGGTTGTGTATACAGTTCTGTCTCTCTCGTCTCTTAGACATGTAAGCACAGTGATAATCTGGAAATGGGTCATTATAATGCCGGAAGATAAGGATGATAAGCAGAAGAGGAGATCAAAGGAAGGCATCACTTCTTGCAGAATTATAGATTACCCCCAAAATAAGCCTCGATAGAACCTGGAGGTCTCAAACAGTAAGTTATGTTTCATGCTCCTGTCTTATTATGACTACAAGGAAATGTCCTTATGTATATGAGTGGATCATAATCTCCAAAGTTTTAGCAAATATTCAAAACAAACAAAGCAGAACAAAGGACCTCACATCTTGTACGTGCGTACTTGCTGAGATGCTGACAAGTAAAAGAGAAAACACAAGCAGCCACCCACTACCACGGTACTCACCAGCAAAAGGTTTATCAAGTTGAACCCAGTCTTTGAAGACAAAATTGCAGTAGTCCTTTCCATGCCAGAACCTGGTTTCCCCATGGAGCTCTCCCATGCCCGTCTGTAAACTGCGGAGGGAGCTGGTGTCTGTGAAGGCAGCAGAGACTGTGTTCAGGTGGGCCCCAGGGAGGGAGGCTCACCTCTCATTTATTAAATGCCTAGAGACTTCTGAACTGTTCTCTTTAAGCCTCAGAACTAGTGAAGCATGTGTTCAATCTATCTGAGGATGTGGGCGGGCAAGATTTCATAATCCGTATGAGTTTACCATTAGTGGGTAGTTGGGGCTATAACCAGGTGCATTACTTGACCATGAAATTCAATGTTCTTCTCCCCATCTACTAGAGGACTGAAGAACAGATCACAAAGATAATCATGAATAAAGAACTTGTTGAGTGGGACTATAGGAGAGCGGTAAAGCCGGGTCAGGCAGAGAAACATGAGATGTAGAGGCCATGAAGAAGTCATGCCCTTGGCTCTCCTCAACCAACATGGTGCACACCCAATACATAATTTTGTCTTTTGCATCTTGGAATCAAGAACCTCAAATCAGCACACAGCCCCTGTTCCAGCCCTGGAATTGTCAAGCTGACTGGCACTGAGCTTCATCTTTTTGGGTCAGAAATTCTTTTTACGCAAAAGGGAGAATTTGGCCTAGATGGCATCTAAGATCTTTGGGCTCTAACATTCTATACTCCCAATATCATAAATGACATCCATAATAAAAATCACAAGAACACACAGAACTTATGATCACATAAGGCACAAAAGCAACAACCCACTGAAGCATTTCACAAAGAGCTTTGCTGGGACCATTTGACTTAAGGATGAACACTCTGACTTAAACAGTTTGTGCATTTATGGGATATGTTGGCCACAAAGACAACTAAGCAGGAAGACAAGTAGAACTACAAATCACAAAGCAGCGCTTGGCACAAAAGAGGCACTTAACAGACGCTGGATGCAAAACTATTCATTGAATGAATAAATGGTAGCACATACCAGTGAGAGGAGTGGACTGGCCCCCTACCACCACATGTCCCAGAACTGTCTTTCTAAAATGCAGACTCTTGCCTTGAAAGCATTCTAAGATCACCTGCTGCCTGCCTACGGGGAGTCAAGTCCTAAAAGCTGAGTGTGCACAGAAAGCTCTTCCTAAACTGGTGCCAATCTCCCAGTCTGGGTCTTGTTCTTCCTCAGTCCAGGCCCCGCGCACAAACCACATTTCTCAGTGTTTCAACAGGTGTGATGTGTTATGTCTTGGTACGGTTGGCAGATTATTCCTTCTGGTCCGGAATGCCCTTCCCTCCCTCTCATCCTCAACTTCACACCTTTCCCGAGCCGCAATAGCTGTCACCTGTCCTACAGGGACCTCCCAGATCCCAGAAGGGAGAGGCAGCCACTAGAACCGCCATAGAACCATCAGTAGCTGCGCATCCCAGTGCCTCTGACTCTGTGATGTAGTTGTGTACGGATGCTTGCTCCGCACTCGTGTGTCAGCTCCTCAAGGGTGGGGAGTGTGCCTTCACTGCATGGTGGAGCGCCTGGCATTCTGTAGGCAATCAATATGTACGTGCAGAGCAAAGGGTTTTAAACAATCAGCACACACACTGATAATATTCTACCTCAAACTGAGTAATTAGCCTTCAAAGGTTACTGAAATAATCTATAAAAGAAAAATGTCTTCGAGTACTAAATGTTAACAAAACTAAATAATGTTAAAAATAGCATTCTGCCGGGGCGCCTGGGTGGCTTAGTCGGTTAAGCGTCCGACTTTCGCTTAGGTCATGATCTCGCGGTTCGTGGGTTCGAGCCCCGCGTCGGGCTCTGTGCTGACTGCCAGCTCAGGGCCTGGAGCCTGTTTCAGTCTGTGACTCCCTCTCTCTCTGACCCTCCCCTGCTCACGCTGTCTCTCTCTCTCCTAGAAATAAATAAAACATTTAAAAAAAAAATAGCATTCTGTTGACTTCTCTCAGTGATTTATTTTCCTGCTTTGTTGAGACTGAAAGGCCAAAGTACTGGCAGTCTGTTTGCTCACCTGTAAAATCTTTAGAGTAAACATGGCATTTTTATATTTTTTTTAAAAAAAGAGAGAAAGGAAACAGAAGAATGAAATAAAATCTTGGATCAAATTCCAGACTAAAAAATATATATACGATAATGTTATATATATAAGCTAAAGCTTAACATTTATACACATACATGTGTTTAAAAATTAACTTTCACCTAACAATCAGGTATGATAAGAAAAACAAAACAAAGCAAATTCTTGTCTCAGAAAATTGTGCTGGTACTGATTGGATTCAACCTGCTCATAATTCAAATCTGTTTTTTGTTTTGGTCATGGCCTACATTATTCTGAATAAGTCAGTCTTCCCCAAATACGAATGAAATATTAAGGCCAGAGAGCTAAGGACTCATAGTTGCTGTGATTACTGCTCAGAAGTGCATGAGCACCTATAAGCAGGAAGAGAGGTTTTTACATCAGCAATGCTGACCTGAAGGGCCCTCCTCAGTCTGTATTTGGCTCCCAGTTGATTTTATAACTTCACCTGCCTTGTCTTTGACATAGGTTTTCATGCCAGTTTTCTGCAATCCTCCTCCATCAGTGGCCCAGACACTGGCTGTAAAGTTCATGGAAAGGGTGTCTTCCTGCCCTTCACCCATTTCTTCTGGCTTTGACTCTTCCTCTCTTCTTTTTCTGGTCTCTTGGCTGCCAAGGCTGCATCTCCTACACCATTACTCCAAACCACCCCCCCTTCTTGACCTTCTTTCCTAGTGCCTCCTCCTTCACAAAGTTCTCCCTAACCTTCTCCTTAGCATGCTCCTCGAGCTCTGGCTTCTCCTTTGGCTCTCAGATCTACAGCCCCTTCCAACGCCTCACTTAGCCTTCTCCACCCAGTTGTCCCACCAACCCTTAAAATCATGTGTTTTAACACTAGGATCATTATTATTCCCACAAAATCAAGTCTTCCTTGTGATTTCTGCTTTCTGTTCACAGTTACTAAAGCTCAAACCTCAGAATCAACGTTGGCTCCTTTCTTTTCTTCTCTCTCTTCTCCACCTACCTCCGATCACCACTTCCCAAATCCTACTGAAATTCTGCTGATTCTTCCTTTGGAAAAAGTTTCTCCCATTCACTTCATTCCCAGGACAAGCTAGTCAGACTCTCTGTGTCTCTACTGTAACTTAGTAAAACTAACTCTCCACCCTACCACCACCCATCTCTTCCAAATACCACCCCCACTTCTCACCTCCCAGGAATTCTCCAACATTTAATAGATGAAGTTCAGTGTCACGGCCTGACCTTCAAAGCCTTCCATATACAGGTACAGATCTATCCCACCAATCCAATTTATACACAAAATTTACTAACCCTTAACCATAATTCCAAAGCTCAAAAGCTCTGAAAATTCAAATGTTTTCTCACAGCTCATGTGTTAGCAAAATCAGACCTGAACTGACAAGGGATTATAATCTTTATTTGTCCCACCTGGTGTTGCACAAATATAAATGATCTGTTTACAGGGCATTTCCTGGACCCTGCAAGCAGTATAACATAATATAGAGTATAGGTATTGGATTACCTTTCTAAAATCTGGAATCTTCTAACTTTTGAAGCACATCTGACCCTTAGAATTTTGAATAAGAAATGGTAGACCTCTATGCATTTACCTCATTCCACACCTACATCTGACATGCTGAAATAAACACTTTTGGCATTTCCCATATATGTGCCTTAAGATGTAACATCTACCAGGGCACCTGGGTGGCTCAGTCAGTTAAGCGTCTGACTTCAGCTCAGGTCACGATCTCAAGGTTTGTGAGATTGGAGCCCTGCATTGTCTTTGCTCTCAGCACAGAGCCCTCTCTAGATCTTCCTTTTAGTGCATTTTCTAATTAACCCATAGTGATAGTGCACATAGGGTCCACACTAATTTCTATACACCGCCATTAAGGTTCACTAGGAGCCCAGGTCATCGTGGTCTTTTGCATTCAAGTGAAACTGACTTGAAGTAAGAAGCTCATCCAGTTTATATCCTCAGGAAAGGAAGTTATTAACTCAAGCAAATATTCAGTTTCAGATTTCTCATGAAGAGTAACTCTGTGCTTAATTCAGGTTTCAAGTCCTATGAGACAATATGTTTAAATCATTACATAATTTAAATGTAGAGCTGTGCTCTTTAAACTCCTTTTATTATTAACAGCAGAACCTTGCTTTTTTTTTTTTTTAATTTTTCAACACAAATTCACATGGAACTTTGATATATACATAAGCAGAATTTTCCTGGCTGAAGTAAGTACCAACAGAGGTGGCAGTGCCCAGGGCCCACTCGCTTGGTATACCCCTTTGGAGCCCCTGAGAAACACCAGGGTCCACAAGCGAGTGACCCATATCCAGCCATGGTAGCTGGGCTCCACCTAAGTCTTCTAAGTACTACCCTAGAACCGTGGCCGTGGAATCCAGCCAAAACCTAATGATGCAGTAATCTGCATTTTTGCTAAATCGCAAATCTGAATTATGAGCTCTGGAAGGCTGATTAAGCTGGAAGGAACATCACTGTACAAGTTACTTTTCACCTCTAACCATGAATTTCCTCATCTGTAAAAGGGAGTAAATCTGTAATACTATTACCACTGAGCACCACCAGGGCTTAGGGCAGTAACAGCCAGTCTGCACACAATAAACTCTAGCTTATGATTTTACTATGGTTGCCATTCATTATGAACATTACTTGTCCCTTTACATGATCCGTTGCCAAATTCCTCTTCATCCCCACTACCGCATTTTAGGCCCTATTTATTCAAATACCTAGTTCTTACAAAAGCTTATCAGATAACAATTTCAAATAATACATGTGGCGTGAAAACTGTGCAAACAGAAAGCCAATCCAGAAACACACTCACTCTGCTCATGCAGCAAAAGCTGAAGCCTAAGGACAGTCTGCGGCTTCACACATCACTTACCAACGTTAGGTCTAGTGAGCCCCTGCTCAGACTTACTGGAAGAGCGAAAGAGTTTCAGGTGGGGTTTAAAACCATGGATTAAATTCTGACGACTTCTACAGTGGTTACAATAACCTGGAGAAAGTTGAGAGTTCTTTTTTTTTTTTAACAAAAAAATAGATATATATCAAATTTTATACACTGAAAAGTAGGCTCGATCAGTGTTAAAACTAGGCAAGGCTATAAAACCAGTCACAAATTCTGTGCAACAGAAAATCGTAGAGCTTTAAGACAAATTTGAAAAGAACAGTAAATTTGCAAGAAATTCTGATGTAGAAAATCTGATGTTCAAAGATAAAACTTCATATATCTCTGGATGGGAAGAGAAAGGAAACTCTTCTATGAGAAGTTAAGGACGCTTAATACTTTTCTGTTTTTCTTTATAATTGGTCATTGTTTTAGAAATGCTTAGACATCCTGCTATCATTGGAAGTATGAATTGTGGTTGTAATGACCACTTGGATGAAAAAAAGCTATAAATTTGTTCTAAAATGAGGAAAACAAAGCCACAAAATGGCATGATACTGAATAGGTTGATACAGCCACTTTTCAGCATTATTCATATTATTCCACTACAGAAAGACAGGTCTAAAAACTGGTTTACAGTGTCTGGCCATGAAAGAACAGAACATTGTCAAGATAAACTCTAGAAAGGCCAAGACTTACTGGAGGCACTGTCAATGCTGCTGATGCTGTCCACGTTGTGCAGGTGGTGCCTGTGGATATGTCTGTAGAGGCTAAATTTCGAGAACTTTCTGGATTTTCCGATTCCTTTCAGTTTTGAATCCATATCGTCAACGCTCTTCAGGGCGGGCTGCTTGTTACTAGGTGTGTTTCTATCTTTAAGGCTTAAGGATTCCATGGACTTTGCTGTTTCAGCCTGAGGGGGGAAAAAAAAAGATACTGCATAAGATGTGCAGCAATGTGACCCTTTAATTCTAGTTGAGCTGAAGTGTCAAGTTCACACATGATGGTCTGATAGACACGAAACAATGTGTGAGGTCAGCCACAGGGCAGTGGAGGATTCTTGTGAGCTGCTTAAATACTGGCAAAGGAATACCAGGCGTTCCGTTGTAGATCCCTCCTTGCAGCAGACCAAATTCTTGAAATTTCATACCAGTTAACCTTTTTATCTCAAATACAAGTACCTGAGTTATATTCAGTGTTGAGCTACTGAATTTCTTCCTCCAATAAATGTCACTTTAAAAGAGTGCTTCTTTTACTGCCAACTATTTGTCTTGCTACTTATTCACTAAATCTTTACTTTTTTCGAGAAAAGTCACCAATAAATCCAGTAGCAAGATAAGACAGAGCCCATCAAAATTTTTAATAAGTGTATTGATATTTTGGCAACTATCAAAGTTGAACCACTAAGTACTGTTTGTGGATATGGGCCTACGGGTATTTTGGCAGCTCTTGATTTAGAAGGTACTTTGAGAAGTTATTAATCTCCTGCTTTCAAAAAGAAGTCCCTCCATGACTCCAGACTGACCTATCCTATTTCTGCATGTGTGTAAGCAGAAAGATTTCAAAAACCTTGGCAGGTGCTTGTAGTAAGGCTGCTTATTTAACTTCAGGTTCAACTGATACACATTTTTGTTTATGAACTTTTTTTTTCCAAATAGGAAATGAATTTTTTGTTTAAATGGAAAATAGGAGTTAATTATGAGCTAGAAAATGCTCTATTGGATTTGTTTTCTCTTACAAGAGAAGAGATTAAGAGATGCAAAGTTACAGACTTGCTAGGTGGTCTTTAAAACCAGGTCTGTCCATCCACGAATATGCTACCCCTCAGGCAACCAACCAGTCAGTTATGCTATTAACACGTACAAATCATGTCCCTTCTATGCAGTTCCGTAAAGGGGGGATTTACTTACTGTGAGGGAACTCAGAGATGGCCCTGTGGTGACACGCTTCACGCTGCCCACGTCCGTGAGTCTGTGTTCATTGTCATCCCACCTTCCATAGGCCAGGTCGATCCCACCCACAAAGGCCACAGACTGGTCGATGACAACGATTTTCTCGTGATGAGCCCACAGATATACACTGGAGGATACATGATCTGGGTGTCTCATCACCTTGGAGGGGAAAGGAAACCCACATGTAGTGAACTTGTTAAAAAGTTCTTCACTTCATAATAAAGCAGATGTTTTATCCCCTGAATAGCATTTTTTATAATTCAAACACCAGAATATGCTCTGTATACACCAAACTTCTAATTTCATTGTCCATGTTTGCAAGAAGACGATTCCTGGTTACTTTTTTAAGCCTCCCCACCAGCCCTGCCCCATACCACATTTAGGGGCAGCTGCCATTTAAATAGAAATTTGGCCACATATTTCAGTAAAAGTCAGCTTAATGTAATAGCTGATTCCTTTATTCCACCTCAAAGGCTTATGTAATACCTGATCTTACTTTAAAAACAACAAAAAACCCTAAAAATGTTTAACCAACATCTATCTCTGAGAAAATTTTTAATAGATCTATTGATTTTTTGGCAGCCACTGAGTTGAAATTGCAAGCATATGCATAAAGGGATAGACATACTTTGGCAGCTCTTGATTTGAAAAATATTTTGAGAAGCTATTATTCTGCTTTCAAAGAGAATTCTCTTTATTTTTTAAAAACCTTTTTGGGACACCTGGGTTTCTCAGTTTGTTGAGCGTCTGACTTCGGCTCAGGTCAGGATCTCACAGCTTGTGAGTTCCAGCCCCGCGTTGGGCTCTGTGCTGACAGCTCAGAGCCTGGAGCCTACTTAGGATTCTGTGTCTACATCTCTCTCTGCCTCTTTCCAGCTTGTGTGCACTCTTTTTCTCACTCTCTCTCTCTCTTTCTCAAAACTATAAAAATTTTAAAAAATAAAAAAATAAAAATAATTTTTTTAATGTTCATTTTTTGAGAGACACAGGGAGACAGAGCATGAGTGGGGGAGGGGCAGAGAAAGAGGGAGACAGAATCTGAAGCAGGCTTCAGGCTCTGAGCTGTCAACACAGAGCCTGACATGTGGCTCAAATTCATGAACTGTGAGATCATGACCTGAGTTGAAGTCGGATGCTTAACTGACTGAGCCACCCATGCAGCCCTAAAGAGAAATCTCTTTAAATGATCCCAGACTGACCTATCTTATTTTTGTATATCTTTAAGTAAAGCATTCTAAAAACTTTGGAGACTACCAAAGTTCTTAGTAACCTACATTTTTTGTTTGTAGTAAAATACACATAACCAAAAATTTACCATTTTGACCATTTAAAAAAATTTCTTAATGTTTTTATTTATTTATTTCTGAGAGAGAGAGAGAGAGAGAGAGAGAGAGACAGCATAAACAGGGGAGGGTCAGAGAGAGAGGGAGACACAGAATCTGAAACAGGCTCCAGGCTCTGAGCTAGCTGTCAGCACAGAGCCTGACGCGGAGCTTGATCATGACCTGGGCTGAAGCCGGACGCTTAACTGACTGAGCCACCCAGGTGCCCCATTTTGACCATTTTTAAATGGACAGTTCAGTGGCATTACATACATTCATATTGTTCAATCATCACCATTATGTGTCTCCAGAACTCGTCATTTTGCAAAACTGAAACACTATATCCAGTGAACAATAACTTCCAATTCCCTCCTCCCTGTAACCCCTGGCAAACACCATTCTACATCTCTATGAATTTGACTACTCTTAAGTATCTTATATAGATAGAATCATACAATATTTTCCTTTTCGTGATTGGCTTTTTTCACCTAGAATAAGGTGTTCAAGGTTCACCTATGTTTTAGCATACATCAGAATTTCCTTTCTTTTTAAGACTGAAATATACTCCAGGGTGTATATATACAAATCATTATTGAGATTGGGATATTAAAGTGCCCGACTATTATTGTATAATTTTCTATTTGGTCCTTTAATTCTGTCAATGTTTGCTTTATACGTTTTGATGGTCATTATTAGGTATATACATGTTTATAATTGCTGTATCTTTTTGCTGCATTAAAACTTCTAATAATATAGGGGTGCCTGGGTGGCTTAGTTGGTTAAGCGTCCGACTTTCGCTTAGGTCATGATCTCTCGGTTCATGGGTTGGAGCCCCGTGTCGGGCTCTGTGCTGACTGCCAGCTCAGAGCCTGGAGCCTGTTTCAGTCTGTCACTCCCTCTCTCTCTGACCCTCCCCTGCTCACGCTGTCTCTCTCTCTCTCTCCTAGAAATAAATAAAACATTATAAAAAAAACTTCTAATAATATATAATATCATTCCTTGTCTATTATAAACTTTTTCTATTATAATATCATCTGATACTAGTATAGCCACTCCTCTCTTTTGATCACTATTTACATGGAACATCTTTTTTTAGGCAAATAAAAATACATAATTGTTATATACTGAAAACCTGCTGGAGATTTATTAATTCGTATGTCTTGATGTATCTCAATGACTTGGAAATAATTATTGATAGGCTTTAAGTCTTTGGTAAATATCAGATAGGTTTTTTAAAGTTGCTTATTGTGTTTATTTATTTTAATTAGTTTTTTATACAACACGCTATTAAGAAAAAGCTTCTTAAATCCTAGATGAGCTCTTTGTTGCTACAAGCATTCAAGGGACGTCACAGGGAGACCACATCTAAGACATTCCAGGATAATCTTAATGAGGACCATGGGAACTTGACGGAGCTCATGCATATTAAAACAATTCCAGAAGGTGTGTTCCTGGCCAAATTATCAGGCTAAGAGAAACAGAAATGTGAACTCTGCTGACTCCATCAATAACAGAAGTATAAGAAAGTATTTTGTTTTATTTCTGAGAGGGATCCAATGCTATTTATTCAAAATGCACATTAGGGAATTCTACAAATTACCACTGCTCAAAGCAAAGCACATCTGAAAGTACAGAATAATACAGAAGAAAGACTATTCAGAAGGATGAAACTCTTACCTTTATGTTGGGGTGTAGACGCATTAAAGTCCTCTTGCTGTATTCACTGTTGATTCCGAGAGCAAGTTCCACTTCTTTGTAGAGCATTATAAAGATTCTCACCCCCTCTTGCTGTCACAAGACAGAACACAAGGAGGAATGAGAACTTCTGGAAGTAGTTCTTTACTTTTCCCTTCCTGTGTATTATAAAATTTCTTCTATAAACAAGACTAATAAGATATTTAATGAAAAATGCAACCCAAGAAGGTGAAACATAAGTGTATATTAAGACACACATGTAACAAAAAGTTATCTCCTTTCTATTCTTAGGACCTGTCACGGCAAGAGACAGTGTCGATATTTGAAAAGGTTGAAATGGTAAGCTTATCAGCTAAAAGTGTCTGATGGTCTTATACCTGTGGACACTTTCAAACATTTACACAACATTAAGGAAAGTGTTGGCCTGATTCATGTTATAGGATTAGAGTTTTTGGGTGGTTTTGATTACACTTCAATTAAAATAACAGTGACAAAAAACTCTGATGGCAATAAACCATACTAAATAGCCCTTAAATGTTTCTGGAGTATTTTAATAGAATTTTTCTTTATTAAAAATTATTTATATAAAAAACATTTCTTTATCTTCAAAGAGAAATATGTGATTCACATTTGTAACCCATAATCACATCATTAATGTCTATTTATGAAATGACTTCTTTGGAAGTTTCCCTAATGTTCAAAAATTCCTGAGTTTTAGCAGCAGCACAAAATTAACATCGATTCAACCTTAGACCCTGGACTTAAAAGAAGACAAGCAAGGCCATTGTGAAGGTCAAATTAAATCAAAGGTGCTGGATACACCTGAACATGCTATGTAAATAACATTTTTATTAATATTAACTATCAAAGAGACAATGTTAGGGTGCCTGGGTGGTTCCGTTGGTTAAGTGTCCAACTTCAGCTCATGATCTTGTAATTCACGTGTTTGAGCCCCACATCGGGGCTGTCTGTGCTGATAGCTCAGAGCCTGGAGCCTGCTTTGAATTTTGTGTCTCCCTCTCTCTCTGCCCCTCCCCTGCTCATGCTCTGTCTCTCTCTCAAAAATAAATAAATATTTAAAAATTGAAAAAAAAATAGGGGCACCTGGGTGACTCTATTGGTTAAGTGTCTAGCTTTGGCTCAGGTCATGATGTCCTGGTTCATAGTTTGAGACCTGCATTGGGCTCTATGCTGACAGCTCAGAGCCTGGGGCTTGCTTTGAATTCTGTGTCCCCCTCTCTCTCTGCCTCTCCCTCTCTCACATGTTCTCTCTCTCTCAAAAATAAATAAACTTTGTAATAAAAAATAAATAAGTAAATGCAATATTCTAAAAAAAAAAAAAAAACAAGGTCTAACAGCTGATAGTATAAAAACTAACATTTTCTCCTCTAGTTCTGGATAGTGATAAGGATTTAGCTAAATTGCCCCACACCTCAATGTCCTTCCTCTTCTCCCTGTCCAGTCACACAGTCTCCTCATCAACATACAGTTAAGAATATAATCCTCCAGGAAACTCTTATCTTATTTGCTCCCACTTCTTATATAATCTTTTTACTTTTTAGGTTTGCATCCTGAATACTGCTGTGCACCTTGCAACATTTGAATTTGCATTCTCTATATCCAGCAGCTCTGAAGCAATTCTGAAACATACTGCATACATATTGGATAATGTATCTACACGTAGGCATTTATTCTTTTTTAATTTTAAATGTTTTATTTATTTCTCAGAGAGAGAGAGAGAGAGAGACAGTGTGAGCAGGGGAGGGTCAGAGAGAGAGGTAGACACAGAATCTGAAACAGGCTCTAGGCTCTGAGCTGTCAGCACAGAGCCCGACATGGGGCTCAGACCCACAAACCGTGAGACCCTGAGCCAAAGCCAGACGCTTAACTGACTAAGCCACCCAGGCGCCCCTACACCTAGGAATGTAAAATCCCAGAGATAAAAGGCAAGCACTTGTACATGGTGCAGTACTTTATAAAGCATTAGAGACACTGGCATATCTAATAAACTATAGTGACAAAGAGTAATTTAGTTACAATTTAAATTAACAATCCATGGTAATTAGGCATACTTCATGATGGAAATTTGAGTCATTAATTTAAGAAGTCAACTGGGTTGAACACAACTAATTTATAAGAATTGGTTATTTTTGCAACACGATAAAAGTGTGAAGTAACATAGGAGCTAATATTTTTAAGTTGCAGGGTACAAAATCTTGGAGTGCACCAAATAGATATATAGTTCCCCAATAGTGGTCTGCCAATATTATGAAGCATGTTTTGGCCCCTAAATCCTTATAAGAATACATCCCTTCAAAATACTAACACTCAAGGGGTGCTTGGGTAGCTCAGTTGGTTAAGCATCCGACTTTGGCTCAGGTCATGATCTCCTGGCTTGTAAGTTTGACCCCCATGTCATGCTCTGTGCTGACAGCCCAGAGCCTGAAGCCTGCTTTGGATTCTAGGTCTCTGTCTCTATCTCTGTCCCTCTCCCAGTTGCATTCTGTCTCTCTGTCTCTCTAATAAATAAGCATTTACATTTTTTTCAAAATACTAACACTATATTTATTGGTATAATGTATAAAGAGTGCATACATCCTTGGAGGATCATACTATAAATATGTTCTGAGCTGCATTAAGGAAATTTGAATGGGTGATGGGTATTAAGGAGGGCATCTGTAGTAATGAGCACTGTTGTGTGTTAAGTGATGAATCACTAAATTCTACTCCTGAAACCAATATTGCACAGTATGTTAACTAAAATTTAAATTAAAAAAGTAAATATAAGTACTATAAAATGCATTCTGACCCTGAAAAAAAATAGGATAAAAAGTATATAGGTCATCCTGTTTCTCTTGTTAAGAGTTGACGTTCAGCTGCTTATTAGTAATTATAGGATTAGTAATAAGTATAGTTTCAGTTGCTTATTAGTAATTATAATTATGCAACTATTATTGCAACCAAGTGCTTAAGGACAGACCAGAGTAAAGAAATAAGGTAGTGAAAGTGTAGGCAAGAAATGAAGAGATTAACTTCTAATAGTTTGGCCGCTGAAGTGCTGAGTGCTCTGCAATGAACCACTGGTGGAGAGCTCTAAATGCAAGCTAGCACATTACTTTTTCCTTCCACTGTTCACATATATTCAGCTATTTGGGTATTTTAGGATTCAGTACTGAATAACAGTTACACAAAATAGCCTCCCATTGAAAGATATAGTATAAAGTTTAAAACCCAAAAGTGCAACCCAAATTATAAAACATTATACCTGACATCTTTCATCATGATTCATTTATTTTAAATGAATGAAATTCTGCTTCTTCGGCTTATGACATTGCTCCTCTTTAAGGATAGTAGTTGCAGTTTAGACCCTGGCCCGATTCCTGACTCTGGTCAACAGTTTTCTATTGACCTGCATAACTAATGGATTTTTTAAATATCAGAGATGTTAACACTAATGGATTACATTATTATCCTCCATTTATGAATATATGACATTTTCTTCTATATTTTACCTTTTCTCATTGAAATAAATTAACTCCAAAGGAAATGGGGTAGAGACTTTCAAGTCTTTTTAGCTTATATACAAAAGATAAGGAAGTAATAAGGAAGTAATTGAAGAAAACAGTTCATTTTAGGTAATCTGGTTTACAATTATTTACTTACATCTATATCACAATGAACAGTTAATTAGTGACAAAATTTCTGTGATTATAAAGCAATAAATTCTTCTTTTGGTCAAGGTATTACAACACTATCATAAACGCCAAACTACAAAGGGCAAAGGAAAAACATTTCTTGACAATGAAGGCATTTGCCAGGTCATTATCATACAGACTTACACAAAATAGGACAAATATTTGTGCAAAATGAAAGCCAAATTAGAAAAGAATAAAGGAGTGATGTTAATTCTGTAATTTAAGAAGTACACATTTGAAGAAGTGTGAAGAAGTACACATAAGAAGCATCCAATGTTTGAACAATGCCTTTTCATGACCCTAGGGGAAATTACTTTTTGTTTAGAGAGGAAGAAGAAAAGTATTAATAGGCCAGGTAGAAAAAAGGATGCCTTGAGGGGACGATGCAACGTCATGTTTCTTATCTCTACTAAAGTCATGTAACCCAAAGGTTAACAGAATACACGTCACACTATAAACACAGAATAAACTTCATAAAACTGGAGTTTCAAAAGTTGAAAGTTCTGTCCTCTTTTCTAATTAGTTTTGAATCGAGTAGAGCAGACATAAAAGTATGTACAGTAGGAATTTTTAGGAGCCTTACATATACAAAATACAAAGTTTTATAGTTGAAATCAAAGAGACTTTTTTGAGCCAATTTTTTTCTCTGATTATTCAAAGTACTGTGGTCAAAATATTTTCTAAATGCAGCCACGTTTGTTCCCTGCTTCAAAACAGCTTAACTCAGGCATCTCCAAGATAATCACCAACTTTATCATTTGTCAAGGACTTCTGCGTGATATTTGGGGAAAATGAAAAGTAAAGGACAAAAGGAACTCACATCCTCGCCATTCAACGTAAAGCAATGTGAGAAAGCACAAATGCTCCTATGCCTTTTTTTAGAACCAGTTCTATCTGAAGCACAGTCCTCAAGGTTGAAGATCTATTCTTCCTTTCCCACACATGCCCTTCTAGCATCCTGATAAGATCCTGATTGGTTTTCCTGTGTGGAGATGTGATTATCTCATTTGACAAACCTGAACATCTTTCCCTCCTAAATGATCACTGATTGCAACTCTAGAATGTGCCTTGTGGTCCAGGACAGAAAGAAATTGCCTTACAACAAAATCGCCCCTGAGGACCTAAACCCATTTCTGTAGGTCTCCAGGTAGCTGCACTTGAAGATTTTTTTCAGTGCAAGTCTCGTCAGAAATACCATGTTTCTAGGGCATCTGGGTGGTTCAGTTGGTTAATCATCTGGCTTCAACTCAGGTCATGATCTCACTGTTTATGAGTTTGAACCTCAGGTCAGGCTCTGTGCTTAGAGCCTGCTTAGGAATCTATGTCTCCCTTTCTCTCTCTGTGCCTCCCTCTCTCGTACTCTGTGTGTGTAATTTAAAAATTAAAAAATTAGAAAAAATTTAACTTTACATAAATAAACATTTAAAAATTTAAAAAAAAGAATTATCACATTTCTAAGGTTGAAATATACACACTGGGTACATTAATACAGTGGCCATAACTATGATGCACCTTATTTCAAGTCTTGGGACAATCAATGCAGACCTGTGGGAAACCCTGAGATGCTGACTTGAGATATAATCAGCCTGTAAGTCAAGGTTGGCTTATGCTATTTTAAATGGTAACACTGCTTATCAAAAGGCAAAGGAAATAGGAAAATATCAGTTTGGCTATCATCAGAGAAACAAAATATTGTATTTCTTCCCTAAAAACAGCTGTTGTAAGAGATGTTTGCATTTCCTCCCCCAAAATCTACACGATGAGATGGAAGAAAAAAAGTATTTATTTTAGTCAACCTTGTGGGTCTCTGGGACCCATTAATGTAAGAATAAATGTTATTTTTTTCAATCCAGTACTCTGTGAAGACAGTGGCTTTCAGAAACTAAATACTTTAGGTGAAACGGTGTTTGTAAGCATAGAAAATAACAATTTAGAATGATTTGGGTATTAAAAATTTATGACCAAAATAATATGCTATAGCTCAATTAAGGAAGAGCAATTCCACCAAATGTACCACCAAGAAATTAATTTTTAATAGTATTACTATTTCCTTAGGAAGTTTTTCTCTTTTGACAGAGAGAGAGAGAGAGAGAGAGAGACAGAAAGAGAGAGAGCGAGAGCACGCACATGAGCAGGAGAGAAGACCAGAGGGAGAGGGAGAGACAGAATCCCAAGCAGACTCCATGCTCAGCTCGAAAACTGATATAGGGCTCGATCTTATGACCTTGGGATCATGACCAAAGCTGAAATCAAGTAGAACACTCAACCATCTGAGCCACCCTTCCTTAGGAAAATTTTAAAATCATTATGTGCAATTTAGAAATGTCAAGTTTCACGAAGCAGATGGAATTGAAATGAAGCACCATTATCAGGCAATAGTATTTACTTGGCCATGGTGTTCATGGGCCATGAAAGCAAAGAAAGCCCATGTTAGTGATAGAAAAATAAACTAGACAGTAGCCTGAGGGGAAAATAAACACATGAGACCTAACACAACATGGAGGGCCAGGCCAGCAGTATCCTTAGACTCTTTCTCCTAAGCCTTGCTGAGGCATTTACTAGCTTTCTGGAATTTACTCAAATGTCCCATAGGGACCTCACACTAAGTCAGCTAGAATTTGGCTAATCAAACCCAAGCTCTCCCCACTTTCTCCCACTGCCAGATTCACCTTCCTAACACACCATTTTGATCAGATCATCGCTCCTCCCCCTGATTCCCTTCCCTAGTCGCCCCTACTTTCTTCCATAAAGTCCAAATCACTGACTTGGCTCACAAGCCTGCACATCTGGCTGAAACTGCCTTTCTGGCCTGACCCCCCATCCTACTTAAGCTAACCCTCAGGTGTAATTAGCCTTGTCACTTTACTGTGACTGACAAAGGCTTGGGAATTCCTGCCTCCAGAATCTTTCCTCACCACATTTTCTACACCTAGAAACTTCTTCCTTTCATCTAAATTTTTTTTGCCCATCCTAAATGCCCTAAACTTCTCTTATTGTGAGGGACTTCCCACCAGAGCTACCCAATTGTCTCCCCCTTGCCTTTGAATCTCAGCACTGTCTCTGTACCCAGCTGACTCTTGTATAGACAGGGTTTTAAGCTTTTTCAGGTCAGGAATCATGTGTTTTATTTATGTACCTCCCCATATGATGTCAAGTGCCCTGCACATAGTAGGCACTCAACAAATACATGTTGATTGAAACCTACAACAGTGAAGTCCTGGATACATAGTATGAATAGAGGATTGACTAGGAAGGTTGACAATTGCTAGGCAAGACTGTAACAACTTAACTAAAATGAAATCTTGCGAGAGATGGGAAAGATGCTATTTCATGAAGAGAAACATGGAGAAAGTTATAGCCCATTCAATATATAGAAGGCAGTTTGATAAGGCTAGGACTAAATCTGGGACATGAGTCCTCCAGCAAGCCCTCCAGGGGCAGGAATGGAGTCCTACTCACATACATGGTATCTTTAGTAATTACTGTAGTACTTGGCTCATAGGAGACACTCAGTAACTTTATGCTGAATTATTTAATGAACATGCAAGTAATGCTTTTGAGGACAGAATTTCCAATTTTGTGAATGAAATTCTGTTGAAGCAATGAATTAGGTTAGACATAAAAATAATGCTGTTTGGCAGAACATGTATCTGAAATAAAGCTTATCAACTTCTTTTTCCATCAATACCAGTGAGGTCTGACTATATCTATGGATATCCTCAGAGATCTTAAAGGCATGGGGGGGGGGGGGGCGTAAGGCACTGAAAGAAGAGGGATGGGTAAATGGGGAAAGCAATAGGGGAATGTGGAAAACAGGAAAGAAGAAGTAAGTCACAACTATAAGAAACAGAAAAATCCTACCCCCAATTACCCAGGATCTACAAATTATGCTAGAATATTTAAAGATAGAATAATAAAGGGGCACATGGGTGGCTCAGTCAGAAGCGTCTGACTTTGGCTCAGGTAATGATCTCACAGTTCGTGAGTTCAATCCCTGCACTGGGCTCTGTGCTGACAGCTCAGAGCCTGAAGCCTGCTTTGGATTTTGTGTCTTCCTCTCTCTCTCTGCCCCTCCTCTACTCGTACTCTGTCTCTCTCTCAGAAATAAAAAAATAAATAAACATTAAAAAAATAATAGAATAAAAAGATTAAGACAATTTCAAGTAATAGTAAAAAAAGCTAGCACTTCCTAATTTGGACATGAATAATAATAAATCCAGATCTATTCTAATTCAACTTAATTTAACTTGGTTGAGAGCCAAGTATATACAAACATTCATTAGAAATATGAATGAGCCTATACTGTTTCAGTTCCTTACTTTTCATACCAGAAAGAATATACTCAATACTCACCCAAAATCTATAGGGTCAACTGGAGAAGAGACAATTTCACATTTTTACCATGAACTGTTCCAAAATTGGAACCAAAGCAACACCAATTCTTACTTTCTTAGTGTCCTTCTTTTTGATATTCTTCTACATTATTTTGGTCCTATCTGAATGAAATCATTCTCTTAATGGCTTTGTCTTTTGATCAGATGGCAGAATAATGAACAAAAAATAAAATGCTACATTTCATTCCACCCTTTATTATTCAATGATAAAATCTTATTATAATTTTTTGCCTATAAAATTAAACTGCCCATAACTGATTAAAAATCAAAACTTAGAGTTCCTAATATAATCCATGCTCTGAATTAGGCTAAAATATTTATGTAGTGCAGAGTAACAGGAAAAAAAAACAGAACAAATAGACTTGAAAACCACAAGTATTCCACTTTTTGTCAAACTTTAAAGAAAAAAGTTATTCTTATATATGAAGGGCTTTGGGGAAAAAAGGCATTTCAGAGACAAGAAACATTTAAAACATTACACCAGCAAAGGTTTGGAATACGTACTGCTTTTCGTTTCAGAATGCAGTCTAACCTCCAACGATTTCCTTCAACCACTGGGCGTTTCAGGAAGATTTCTGGACTCAACCTGAAATCACAAAAGCAAGATTTTTAAAAAGTAAAATGAAGGTAGACTTAGGGAACTCAGTGACTTCTTAAAATGTAGTAACATACATGTCATAGGAGTCCCAGAAGAAGAGAAGAGAGAAAAGGGGCAGAAGGTTTATCTGAGCAAATCACAGCTGAAAACTTCCCTACTCTGGGGAAGGACACAGACATCCAAACCCAAGAAGCACAGTAAACGCCCACTAAATTCAACAAAAACCAGCCATCACCTAGACATACCATAGTCAGGTTCACAAAATGCACAGACAAGGAAAGAATCCTGAAAGCAGCAAGGGAAAAAAGTCCTTGCCTTACAAGGGAAGACAGATCAGGTTCGCAGCAGATCTGTCCACAGAAACCTGGCAAGCCAGAGGGGAGTGGAAGGAAATAGTCAATGTGCTGAGTGGGAAAAATATGCAGCCAAGGAATCTTTATCTGGCAAGGCTGTCATTTAGAATGGAAACTGAGACAAAGAGTTTCCCAAATAAACAAAAACTAAAGGACTTCATGACCACTAAACCAGCCCTGCAAGAAATATTAAAGGAGACTTTCTGAGTGGGAAAGAAATACCAAAAGCAACAGACTAGAAAGGAACAGAGAACATCACCAGAAATACCAGTTTTATAGGTAACACAATGGCACTAAATTCACAGTTTTCAATAATCACTCTGAATGTAAACAGACTACATGCTCCAAACAAAAAACAAAATATAAAGTTCTGATTATGCCACAGGAAGCAAAGGCCCAAATGCCACCATCCTCCTCCTCCACTGTGATGGGTCACCAGAAGTTCTGCAGTGAGTTCACATTTTTTTTATATATAGTTTATTGTCAAGTTGGTTTCCAACAACACCCAGTGCTCATCCCCACAAGTGCCCTCCTCCATGCCCATCACCCCTCCTTCCCCCCCCACCCATCAGTCCTCAGTTGGCAAGCCATGAGAGACTCTTAAATGCTGAGAAAAAACTCAGCATTTAACTTCACCTGGGAACAACAGCCTTGAGCCATTTAAAAAAAAAAAAAAGTAAAAGATCAATTTGATTTCTCTCTTACACATGGAAATATATACACATATGAAGAAACTGGTGATTATCCAGCCAACAGCCATTTTCCTCCTTCTTTCTTAGAGTCTACCTCCCACATTATCCAGTGTAAATATATTAAAGATTTGCTTCCCCAGCTTCCTGTCCAGCTAGAGCACAATGTGATGCAATTCAGGACAATGAGATATATGAGGAGGCACACATGGGTTTAATGGGAAAGCTTTTCCTCTTTGATCTTTCTCTCTTTCTTACACACACACACACACACACACACACATTAGGAAAAGTAGCTGTACAACAGATGTTGTTGGCGATACGATGCTTCAACAGGTACTGCCATATTGAAATTCTAAAGGGAAAACCAGAACTCTGAAATCACTAGACCATTTCACCAACTTTAGGACTCCTTAACTTTGGATTTCTCATTAAATGAGACAAATAAATCCTCACTGTGTAAGCCACCTTTAGTTAAGCATTCTGTTAATCCAAGCCAAGAGTATTCTAATTGATAAACATGAAAACCGACTTTCTCTACTAAGGAACAATGTGCATAGGATCCTGGGGTTTTCTGAGCAGGAAGAAGGTAAGTTTGCTGATAACTTACTTGCTGATAAATGACATTTTTTTTTCCAGTGTAAACCTGGATCCCTGGCCTCTTATCTTTAGCAGGGCCAAAGGCAGCTAAAAGAACAGTAGAGTCATTTTCCCCCCTTAAGGGTGAGATCTGAAGTCAGTGTCTGAGATAAATCTGTATGTGATGTAACTACACTATGATGAGGAAAAACAGACAAAAAATGTGCACTAAGGAAACTTTGCTGAAATGCTAGACCTGGAGGAGCAAGAATAGATTGTATAAGGATTAAAGCCTTATAGAATATTAGGCTGGAATATTACCTTGCCAGAAAAGTCCTCCGAGCATGTGAAAACAAAAGGGTTATAAGGAGCTGAAGAGATTTAAAAAATATTTTAATGCTCTATTTCTTTCAATTAAAGAAAAATAAAGCTGCAAAGATAAAGTACCTAAAGGAAATACACACTGCCTAAGATAAATAGGAAAACAGACAAATGGTGGGTGTGTGCAGTATAAATACTTGCATACATAAGTTAGTGTAGGAAAGGAACACAGGGGTCATCTAAGTCCAAATGAGAAACAAAAATGCAGCAGTTGCTAACAAAAGATCTAAAAATAATTCAAAAGTGGTCTGTTTTAGTAGAAATGTGCATTATTGTGCATTGCCTATTCACGGAAGGTAAGAGATGCCCAATAACATATAGTCATGCCATTTTTTGATGTACACATTAATTATGAACGTAGAGATCTTCTGTTTGGGGGCCACTTATAATGCTATACCCTGCAATGAAGTCTTTATCATTCTCTACCCTACAAGCATTTGTGTACCCTGTATGCAGAACATTCTACTAGATGCTTTGGAGGATCTTAAGATAGTTCTCAAGGAACTCTCAGTTTGGGGATAATGCATAAAAAGGTAAAAGACTAGTATTCATGCTTTAAACAAAGTATCAACAATGGTCTCACCGGCAAGGAAAAAGCAGCAATGTGACTTATGACTTACAAGAATCATTATCTTAGGATCTTCACTAAGCAACTAATAGATAAGCAAAGTTCATTATATAAGCAGTTTTCTCCCATACACACATGCCAATGATAAAGTTTAACTTATAATTAGGGAGAGTAAGAGATTAACAATAGTACTAATATAAAAATGCAATTACAGCATTAATTGAGATAAAACTGTAATAAAAAATAAAATAAGTAAAACTGTACATAAAACTGTAATAAAAGTTTGTGAATGTGGTCTCTCCCTCTCTCAAAATATCTTATTGTACCGTTTCCCCCTCCCTGTGATGATATGACATGGTAAAATGCCTACATGATGAGATAAAGTGAGGTGAATGATGTAGGCACCGTGATGTAGCATTAGGCCACTATCACTTACTGACAATTGGTAAGAAGGAGAGTCATCTGCTTCTGGATTGCTGTTGATCTCAGGTAACTGAAACCACAGAAAGCAAAACTATGGATAAAGAGAGACTCCTGGAAACATTGCTGAAAAAAATTAAATCTGATCTAACTAAATGGAGAGATGTTCATGAATTCAGGAAGAGCAGAATTTGATGGACCATCTAACCATTGGGGACTTTACATTTTTTTTCCCATCTAAAGGAGAACCGGAAACAGGCTGTGTGGCACAGGTACAGAGAACTCAGGTAGAAGTCCTCTACCTCAGGCTTGAGCAGAAAAGAGGAGTTCAGGTGGCACCAAGGGGCTCACGGGCACCACAACACTGAGGGATTGGAACTTTTTTCTCCACCTAGAAAAGCTGCAGTGCCAAGAGGACAATGTAAATAAATATCCATTGCTTGGCTCTGGACACAAGTATCGTTGCAGAAAGTGGGTGGCAGGGCAGGCAAATAAAGCCCCGCCTTTCTAGCTGAAGAACTGGGAGGTGGGGAGAAGCTACAGCAAACCTAAAAGTAGTAGAGAGATCTCTGAGAAAGCAGAGCTTAGGAAAGCAACCCTCTTAAGTCGATTATGAACTTCTAGCTCACTCCCAAGATGCCCTTCCATGGATTTGATCCTAAATATTATACCAAAGTTTGAGAATTGAACTAAGAATTAAACCACTGCCAAGGGATGAAAAAACATTCACCATGCAAATGGAAGTAAAAAAACCGAAAACGAACAAAAAAACAGGGTAGCAATCCTTATATCAGACAAAATAGACTTTAAAACAAAGACTGTAACAAGAAACAAAGAAGGGCATTACATAACAACAAAGGGATCAGTCCTACACACCAATACTGGGGCACCTAAATACATAACACAAATATTAATGGACTGAAAGGGAGACATTAATGGTAACACAATAAGAGTAGGGGACTTTAACAGTCTATTCACATCAATGGATAGATTATTTGAACAGAACATCAATAAAGAAACAATGTATTTGATGAAACATTGGGCCAGATGGACATAGCAGATACATACAGGGCATTCCATCCAAAAACAACAGAATACACATCTTTTCAATGCATACACAATATTCTCTAGAAAAGATCACACATTAGAAAACAAGCTTCAATAAATTTAAGAAGATGTATCTTCTTAAATTTGATATATGAAATCATATGATGTATCTTTTCTAATCACAATGGCATGAAACTAGAAATAAATCCCAAGAAAAAAACTGGAGAAAACACAAACACATGGAGACTAAACAATATGATACTAAACAACCAATGGGTCAATAAAGCAATCAAAGAAGAAATTTAAAAATGGACACAAATGCAAATGAAAATACAGTGGTCCAAAATCTTTGGGACTCAATGAAAGCAGTTCTAAAAAGGAAGCATATAGTGATACAGGCTGATCTCAAGAAATAAGAAAAAGCTAGGGTGCCTGGGTGGCTCAGTCGGTTAAGCATCTGACTTAGGCTCAGGTCATGATCTCATTGTTCATGGGTTTGAGCCCCGTGTCAGGCTCTGTGCTGACAGCTAGTTCAGAGCCTGGAGCCTATTTCAGATTCTGTGTCTCCCTCTCTCTCTGACCCTCCCCTGCTCACACTGTCTCTCTCTCTCTCTCAGAAATAAATAAAACATTAAAAACATTTTTTAAAGAAACAATAAAAAGCCCAAATAAATAATCTAACCTTACACCTAAAGGAACTAGGTAAAAAAAAAAAAAAAAAAGAACAAACAAAACTCAAGATGAGTAGAAGAAAGAAAATAATAAAGATCAGAACAAAACCAAATAACCTTAAGTCTGAAAAAAAACAGTTAAAAAATCAATGAAATCCAGAACTGGTTCTTTGAAAAGATAAACAAAATTAACAAACCCTTAGCCACCTCATGAAGAAAAAAAAATGGACCAAAATAAATAAAATAAAAAATGAGACAGAAGTAACAACTGACACGACAG